TACTGCGCCATTTCGACAATAGTAATTACTACTTATAATAAGAATTTTGGCATTTCAGCATTTATTAAAAAGATTTCGGCAAGCATCCTTAGTCTGAATAATATATCTTCATGTATGTAAGTTATTATTGCTTCAGTCTCATTGATTTTCAATATTTTGAGGGGGTTATTGGACTCCTTTCTTCAATTAATTTTATATAATTGTTCATCTTTAATAATATAATACTTCGATTGTTGTTTTAATTGTTCTTTTTGTTTTGTAGTATATCCGACGGGATATTGTTGAGAATTCAAATAATTATATAGGTTCGCGTAAGTGTTTAAATTCATTTCTTTTGTGACTATTTTCAATAATTTGTTCTACTAATATAAGCGAGAAAGGGTGTCAGTGTTTTGGTGAGTTTTTTCAGATCGATATGTAACGATAAATTTATATTCCATTAGATTCATTATCCATCAGGCAATTTGGAGTCCAGAATTCATTTGTTTATAAAAGAGCCAACGGAGTGCATTATGATTGGTAACAATTTCAAAGAGGGATCCTATCAGATAGTGTCAAAATTGGCATACGGTCCAAACAATAGCTAAAGCTTCCTTTTCAGTGATGCTATATTGTTTTTCAGCGGATTTGAGTGATACACTTGCATAAGATACTACACATTCTCTTCCTTCATTGTCCTTCTGAGCTAGTACAGCACCTAATCCTTCATTTGATGCGTCTGTATATAAATAGAATTTTTTTGTGAAGTCGGGATAAATTAAGATTGGGGTGGTAATAAGTCATTGTTTGAGTTTGGCGAAAGCTTGTTCTTGAGTCATGGTCCAAACAAAGATAATGTCATTTTTTAATAATTTAAATAGGGGAGCAGCGATCTGTGAGAATCCTTTAACGAATTTTCGATAGTAACTAACCAGTTCTAAAAAAGATCGGAGTTGCTTAACCGTACGCGGCTGAGGAAAATTCTTTATTTTATCGATGGTAGTTGGATCAGGCGAGATTCCGCTTTCATTGATGATGTGTCCAAGGAAAGGTAATTCGCTTCTAATAAAATTACATTTCTCTCGATTCAACTTTAATCCAGCGTTTCTAATCTTTTGGAGAACTTTTTGTAGATGATCCAAATGTTCTTCGAAGGTTGTGGAGTAGATATTAATGTCATCGATATATACCATTGCATGCTTCCAATTGTCTTCAGCGAGTATAGCGTCCATGGCACGTTGAAAAGTAGTGGGTGCATTACATAATCCAAATGACATCACATTAAATTCGAATAATCCTTCTCGTGATATAAAAGCAGTTTTCACCTTACTTGATTCATCTAAGGGGATTTGTCAATACCCAGAAGAAAGGTCCATAGAAGAGAACCATTTAGCGTTTCCAAGATTGTCAAGCATTTCATCGATTTGTGAAAGAGGATAAGCATCTTTACGAGTCACTTTATTTAATTTCTGATAGTCGACACAGAATCGTTTCTTCCCATTTTTCTTGATGGCGATGACAATAGGAGATGCCCAGGGGCTGTTGAATCGTCTGATTATTCTAGCGTCAAACATCCTTTTAATTTCTTCATGAATAAATTCTTGGTTGGGTATGGTTGCTTGATACATTCATTGACGAATAGGGACAGTTCCATCAGTTTCAATTTTATGTTGAATCAAATTTGTTCCTTCAAGCTGTTTAAGATCATTAGTAAAAATATCTTGGAATTAACTGAGTAAGTTTTTTAACTGTTTATCTTGTTCTTTGGTTAATATTCGTTGTTTCATTGATAACACTTCTTCGTTTGTATCTAGAAAGTACGTCTTCAAGGTTTGTTGATTAGTAGAACTGAAACCTTCAGTTCCTCGAGTACATTTTCTCAAATCGTCTCGATTTTTAACTTGTTGTAATGTTTCAACAGGTGCTAGCTGGAGGAAAACTGCTTGTGCGATTCGGTCATTCAGTTTAATAACATAAGCCTAATCCGAGTTGTTGGTCAAAATTACTCCAATATTCCCAGTATACCCAGCATCGATAACCCCTCCTTTAACTTCGATTCCTTTTTTGGCCAAAGAAGAGCGGAACATTAATTGGCACATTGTTCCTCTCAGCACTTCCATGGCGACATATAGATCGATAACAATAGTTTGATGTGGTTCCAACTTGAGTTCTAGCTGTCCAGGATAGTAAAGATCGAACCTGACATCAGTTGAATGAGCTCGTTGAGGTACAATTCCTTTTCCTTTGTCATTATAGATTTTGATAGCATAGTTCATGACCTTTATTTTCTGGATGTCATTCTTTTTTTCATCATTTGAATAATATCCTTCTAAAATTTCTTCACAGATATCATAAGCACTATCAGTATTGGAGCTGAATTCTATTATCTGTACTTCTTTTTGGGCTTCTTGTAAATATTCAAATAATTCGGAGAAGGTTTTCTGGATCTCCTGGATATTCAAGACCGGTGTTGACTGTACAGGCTTTAATTCTAAGATCTGGAATAATTGTTCAGTAATTCCAATTTGTTTTTGTTGAAGTTTGTCTTGGATTTCTTGGGTAAGTTCTTCAGTTTGAATAATTATCTGCTCCAACTCATCTTTTTTTGATCCTTCTTCTCCCACTTCGATTTCATTAATTTCATTTTCTACTAAAAATTCAACGGTTCCCTTCGCTTTTTCCTTCTCTTCATGTCTTTTCTCAAGGTCATCTTTCTCTTCTAGGCACGGCTGTACGCAGTCAGCACATAGATCGGTATCACAAGGTATGAGACATTTGTCACATAATTTGACATTGATGTAATCCAATTTTGCTAACTGCAATTTTCTTTCTGGAGTTAGTAGTTGATATATGGACTGGAAGATTTCTATGGCAGAAGCTTCCTCAGATCCGTTGTATTCGATCAAGTCTCTTTCATTTTCAAAATCATCTTCCTGAATGTATCGGGAGAGGATCGCCTTACCAATTTCGTTGCATTCGTCGTAGACATTCAAAAGAATTCCTTGTTCACAAAGTTTTTGAATAGTTTCAGCATTCTTGCGCCATCCACCTTGATTAAACCAGTATATACATTGGTGATCATAGGTACAGAAATATCATTTGTCATAACTACCAGTGATATACATATGTCGAACCTCATCACGATAATTGCAGACGGCACAAGCTGGTAAGTTCAATTTCTTTTCAACATGACAATTATGATAGCATTGTGCTTTCTTACTATGCTGTGTGATATAATTTCCTCTATAATATTGATCTAGATAACATTGACATTCATCACATTGTTCGATTTGTTCCTCTGGGTGAATATTTTTTTTAGCCTCTGCAAGAGTGATGTAAGTTTCCCGCGTACGTTGAGCTATGAAGAGTTCTTGTTTTACCTCTTTGGCCCAATTCTCTTTCGTCTTTAGTTCGGTATGATAGGATCAATGTTGTTGAATGGCAATCCAGTCGGCTAAATCATTATAACATGAATGGCATCGATAATTATTGATATAGAGACATTTGGTACACCAACATTGCTTGTTAGGTCCTTTCCAATCTAGAGATCATCATTGTTCTGATACACACTCCAATCAGAATTTCTCATTGAGTCGTTGGCAATCATCCCACGTAAATTTCTTCCAGCGAACTTTCATTCCTTCCTGAAAAGCTTGTACATCGCGGATGAATTTGATACTTCAGATTATTCTCAAAGATACACCTTCGAGGTCGACATATTTCAACTTTCTTCTGATAGTTTTAACCAGTGTCCATTTTTCTTCCAGTGTAATCTCTATGCTTTCTTGATTGAACTGTACTTTCTTTTTCTTAGGTCATATGGTCATCCAGTTGTCATCATTCTGCATTCACATGAGATAGGATTGTTGGTCTAAGTCCTGCTCTTCGATTTCATCTTCTTCGTCATCAGTGGTGTCTTCGTCAGAGTCAGTCTCATCAGATGATTCTTCATTTTCACTTATTGGATTTCTTTGACCGTGGATGAACTTTATGGAAACCTTTCCTTTTTGGTTTTCCTAATCGAAGGTGAGTAACTCTCATTTGATATCGATATTGGCATTAATTTTACTAAGAAAGTCCATTCCTACCACAATTGCATAGGTTCGTGCTTCTGTAACGTTGACTTTGATAGGAATTACAATTCCATCTACCATTATTTGTAAATCGTCGGCGGCTCCCAAAGGCTGCTTGAAGTTTCTATTGATATCGGTCATTAAGACGATGTAAGGATGGTTGCCGAAATGACGTCATCTAATTAAATAATTTGCCGAAATTAACTTGCTGAAATTAAATCTGAAATTATTATGACTTATTTTATTAGTAGCCGAAATTGTTTTCCGAAATTATTTGGATTCTACAAATCAAAACAAGCATTTCTAGGTGGTTTTTAAGTATTCATTAATATAAGCAACATAGCAAAACTGAATTATTTGCCAAAATACCATTTTTTCCAAAAATAATTTAGGAGATCATCTTTAAGACAGTGGATTTCCTTTGGATTTTTATATCTTGGCTTTTTAGAAAATGTTGGCTAGCCACACAACCGGAAGTGCCAGTGTCGATAATGAGATCAATAATGGATTTTTCCACTCTAGTTTCGCACCAAGTGGAAGTGGTTTTTAATTTTTGTCCCAGCATTCCGATCTTTTGTTTGGCGGATCGTTTATTTATTGGCTTTCTCATCCCTTTGGACATTTTAATTCTTTGGGTGGGAGATGTTTTGATAAGTTGGACAATGGTGATGTTGGCTTTCATACTGGTCAAGTCATCTACAATATCGTACAGAAGGACGCGAGAGGTGAGAACAGATAAGATGGCTCTTCCTTTCTTCTTTCGTTTTGTTTTTTCTTTTTCTTCGATCGGTTCTTCTTCATTAACTTGACTTGTGTTCATAGATCCACCTGCTTCATTGACGTGAGTTCTTTTTCGTTCTTCGGCCAGGTATTCACGTTCTGCAAGGAGAGCTGTTATATGGGAAATATTATTTGCCTGTTCATCTCCTTGTTTTTGAATTGCTTTTGTCAACTCTTGTATTTGGACTAACAGTCTATTTTCTACATTTTTATGATCATTTGTTTGTCCATTGTTCAACGATTAGTTTTCTAAACCAGGACAGTTATTGTTTTGCTGATTAGGAATCTCATTATTTCGATTACGTCAATTATTTTGATTATTACTATTACTTCCATTGTTGTTCCAATAGTTATTGGGTTGAGGAGGCTTAGAACAATTAGGCCGAATGTGTCCTAGCTCTCCACAATTATAACAATTAAAATTGTTGTTATAATTTGGTCTATTCCAAGTTGAGCGTCGATTATTTCCTCCATATGAAGGTCGACGTGTTGTTTCTACTTGTTCCAACCTACGAGTCAGCCCTCGTAGAATGGCAGTGATGTCGTTAAGACTACTGTTTGTATTCATTTGGGTTTGATGATATCCTCGAGTGGTGATGTCAGCATCTGCTCTTTCTACATTTCTTGATACTTCTATCATATTTGCCAATGTTCCGTCAGCGGTTACTTGCACCCATTTTCGGATCTCTGGCTTCAATCCTCGTCAGTACGTCTGAGTTTGGTAATCGTTGGGATAATTATTACCTGGATCAACTTTTTGTAGGAGTTCATTGAACTTGTCGGTGTATGCATCGACGGTTCCTTCTTGTTGTAACGTTTCCAACTCATCTTGCCACTGGTCTACTCGCTTCTGGGTTCAGAACTTCTGCGTAAACTGATCTTTAAATTCATGGGCATCATAGTGCTGATTTATCCATGCATTCAACACCGTCGCATTATTTCTGGCCTGTTTGTCATACTAAGTAGCAGTGGATCCTTCCAAATATCCCCTAACCAGTTGGATTTTTCAGTCGTCAGTAATTTCATTCGCTCTGGCGGCTACTTCAAAGTTGCATAACTATTTCACTGGGTCTTGATCATTTTTACGATATTTTCGGATGGGAATGATAATCTTCTCAACAGCTCTATTGTTCTGTGCTGTTAATGCATGGGTTAATTGATTCACGGCGTTCAATACATCTGCCACGTTTGCCATTTCACCTAGTTCTGGAGTAAGATCTCAGATATTTTCTTCTTCGCTTACTGGTGATTCAATTTCTCTTGGTGGTTTTTCTTGTTCGATCTCAGCGACTTCCTCGTTAATATTAAGCTCTTCAGTTTCGTTTTCAGAATTGTCTTCTTCTATTTGGGTCTCAGCGTCAACGGTTTCTGAATAATATTCGTCTGATAACTCTCCGTCAGGGTCTGAATAGGTGATTATATTTCGCTCAAATGCTTGAGATCGTTCAAATCATTTGTAGACTTGGGTTACTAATCAGACCTAGTCGTTTATGATGAGATATTCGCTGAACAGGATGGTATTCAGCAACCTTACAATTCGTTGTCTGATAATGGATGGGTGTACTTCCCGTAGTCGTATGATACTAGTTCGTCAAACATTTGATAAGTAATGCGGTTATATGCACAAGTGCCTGCGGATTCCACCCAAAGCCAGAATCGTTGAAAGGTGAGGGTATATTCTTCTGGTGGCGGGAGACAGAAGGGACAATATAGTTGTAATTCGACGGGGTTCCCTCCTCTGTTATTATGTTGCTCAAGGTGATCGTTAATTAATTCACTGGTAAACGTATATACTTCGTTCATTCACTAAATCGGGTGTTGATGCAAATGAACTTTTTATGGACTAGTTTTGGCAGTTTGACAAAAAGGGTATTTTCAAAATTTCGTGGAAGTAGTCTACAGAGAAAAGAAAGGGGATAATTATACTATTTCACAGAGGGGACACCAAAATGTTGCGTGTATAATTTAATTATTAGAATTAAAGAAATAATACACAACACAAAAATTGAGCTAAGACTGAATGATTTACAAAT